GTTTTACTTTATTTACTCCTTTTTACATGTATATGTCTGATGAAATACCAAACTAAGAAATTAATATTGGATCGCAGCCATGTACGCGTCTGATATAGATGAGTTATAACAATCAACCAGAATTTCAAAATTAACAAAATATTATTTCACATCAGTTCATAGTCCTTCGGTTCACAATCAATTGACAAAAAAATAATGTATCACGATTTATGACAAACTCAAGAGGGTTTAGAAAAAATTTTATCAGTAATTTTATTCTTGCTCTATTTTGCTGATTTTAATTCTTCCTATTTGTTTTTTAATAGCTACATTTTAAATACTTTGTTGATTTCGTGTATCTCATATTGACCATCTCGGAAAGTAAAATACAATACATATCCGAAAGCGATGCTCGCACCGCGCTATAATTTTCAATAAATTTGCACTTCGCTTGTAATTGTAATTTTCAATAATCGTGCCTAATAGAGGGATGAGGGTGAGCAAAAGGGAGAGGGAGAGAGAGAGAGAAAGAGGGGGAACTGACGGTTTTAAGGTGGAAGGGGCAAGATCTAGGCGGTAGGAGTACGAAGCAAAAGCAGATTAGCGTGAATAATGAAGACACGACCTCGTGAAAGCCTAAGCGGGTCTCCTTAAGTCTGCTCCTTCGAGTAGAAGCCGAAGCCGGAAAGGAAGGATGCTGAGAGGTGGAGCGGACAGAAAGGAGGTAGAAGCAGTTAATTACTCCTCCCATCCAGGGGATAACGACTTCCCCTTATTTGTCGAGAGGCGCAAACAGCCAACCCTTAGTGTAATCCCTCGGCAAGACGCTTTCTCGGATATGTACCTACCTTGGAGTCTTGGATCCATACCATAACTCAAGCATTAGCCCGTTCTCAATGAGCATTGAGAAATCGAAAAACTATCCAACAAATTTCCAATTATGTAACAAACATTTGGACCATTTATCAGAAAACACAGTGTAGAATATAAATTGTAACATTTTTAAAAAAATGTCAAGGTCGACAATATCATTTTCAGAGATGACTGATAGAGAACTGTGAAAGAATAACGAGAACTACGTACGTAAGCGTGTAACGAAATAAATAACCGGTATGCTCAAATAGCCATATAACGCACGGAGAGAAGGAAAAGAAGGCAGACTAATTACGAAAGAAATCATAATAGGCGCACATGCACCACGGGCTGTCGAGCTAACGATCGCTTCCTCTGCATCTGCACCTGTTACTGCGATCTTATGGTTGCAACGATGCACGCGAGCCGCATATGCCGATGGTCTTCCTCGGAGACACGACCGCCTAAAGCATCGATCTCCTTTCATGAATTTGGAATATTCAGAAATTCGTCGATATTTCGAAAGGACGGCGATCACTTCTACGCTAACGCACACGTACTCGATCGAGCTTTTTAATGTTTTATATTGAAGTACCCGATTACATGCAGATATGATAATTACGAATATAACTGGCATTTACGCAGAGAGTTTTGTTCGTTCGTGCCAGAGAAATTCGTCTTTTTAACTGGTGTAATTGAACGGCGGTCATTGCATAAACGTTGTTAATTAGGACAGGAGACATGAAAACGAAAACGCGGGTCTTCAATGGTTGACGGTCATGTCCCTTTTTCTGCTACGAAGGACATAGGACTTCGGGGCATGTGATAAAATGCATTGACCATCGTCCGAATTAACGTCCGGAAAATTGGATGGGTCATGACGTTAAACGACTATGCTTTGCAGTTTCTTTTGTTTCATTCCGATGATTGCTTCTAATACCTGTACCCATCTGTACCCGACAAGCTACAGTTTATTCAATAATCTCGATTTTTGTTATCGTTGCTTATGCAGGTAAATGTTGTTTTGTATAAAATTATCTTGTCCTCTACGTCTATCATTCACTTTTTTTCTTAATTCCTGAGATTTCCTCTTGTTGGTAACATTCTGTACATGCATATAAATATCCGGTATCGATTAAGGATGTATTGGCTATACAGTCAATCCCAAAAATTTATGTACTTTAGAAAACTGCATTTATTTTTCTCAAAATTTCGAAAAATGCTTCAAATACAAGTTATTTGTCTTCTAACTTCGATACTTAACGAGTTAACTATGATTAATTGGCATTGCATAGGTCCTGAGAAAATCCGACCGTCCCACCGTCGACCACCATAGTGTCACCACTATAATTATTCAAAAAACCCATGAATTGATTTAAAATTTTGCAGGTAGCTTTTTAATAGTAATAGGAATCTATAATAACAAATTCAACATGTTAGCATTGTTTACGTATATAGCTAATACATCTTTAAAGTGTTTTAATTGATCGAAGTAAGCGACATTAACTCAGCATAATAAGCGGCTAGTCGGTTGCACCTCTTAATTCTCGTCCTGTTCATTTTCGTGCAGCTCGCACGCGAAGAGTAATTTTCAATAAATACACCGAACCCGACTTTGTCGTTGATTCTCTTCGAGTTGGTGCACGGCCAACGGTAGCCCCGCTGCTCATTCATCTCTCCTGTCTTTTTTCTTTTCTCTTGTTCCTCTTCCAGTTCCACCGAAAGGCTGACGCACGAAAGTAACAAGAATCCGCTGTTTCGAACGAACGTCTGACACCTCGTACGGCAGCCATTCACCTTTCGTCATAGAAGCGAGCACTGTTTAGACGAGACCCTCGGGGAAGCTCCATAGCAGATTGATTTACATCGAAGTCAGGTCTCGAACCGGCCTGTAATCTCGCGACCATGCCGATCAAAATACGCGTGGCCGCAGCCTCATCCCTTTCACGACCCCTAGGGTGTATTACGGCCCGAGTGTTCCGGCCAGAGGCAACCAACTTACGCTTAATATCGCGTGGATTAGCCGGCCAACTGTTGTCGTTGATAACCGGTGGTTTGGACGATCACTTCTGCGGTTTTATCGGTTACATCGCCACGATTTCTTTCTTGCGTGTCTCCGTCCTGATTTCAACCGACTAGATTCTGGAAACACGGTGAAGCTTCGTAGAACAAAGGGTGAAGTGTTTGGACAGAAAGCGGGGCCGTACTCCCGTTAGGACGTTTCCTCCTCAAGTGTCCTCAGGAAGTACGCAGGTCATCGCGTGCAGAACCTCGCGAGACGATCGCGGTTCTCCATTGTCAACGACAGCCGAGAAAAGAAAGTTCACGGCTATGGGGTTACCCGCTGTCTTCAGGGTCACCGTTATCCAACGATCATCTCGCATACGATTCGCGGCGAAACTAGAACGAATTCCGCGATTCGAACGTAAAGAAGCGCGTGTGAACTTTCATGTTCGCGTATTACGGAAATACGCGATCGATTAAATTTAACCGTATTTGGAAGCAA